TTGGGCCACAGCGCGTGGTCGCTCGTGTAGGTTGTACCGGGCCTCTCAGAATCGACGGTGATGCATTTCTGGGGTTACTCCTAGCTGGTCTAGGATAGTTTCCTTGACCTTGTAATAACAGAGTGCATCACGGGTAGACATGCCCCGGTACATGAGCTACGCTGGTCCCGAAAGGTAGGGGGCCAGGAGTGTCGCCCAGTGTTCCTGTGGTCACTTGGCTGCTGTCGTGACTCTTTCAAAAGTAACCAGGAACGCCTCTGGGTCATCCTCCGGTCCCAATTTCGTTAGGCGTATGGGCAACTGTGATCCCACGCCGCCGGCTCCTTCTCCTCCTAGCGGATTCCTATTCCCTCGGCCAGTAACCCAGTAGGAGTCCCTCTCAGCTCCCACAACATTTGGTCCTGCCGGTCTTGGAATTGAGTAAGGAGTTGCTGTAGCACCTGCGTCTGTTGTTGCTGCTGCTGCTTTTGATTTTCCATTAGCCATTCCAGAATCTTATTCACTTCCATTTTTTTCCCTTCTTCCTACTAACAAGGATAGTGTCAATTGCACCCCTTCCTCCTACACCCCGTGTCGGGGTCGGAATGTACCCCTATTCTCCACCACGTGTTGGCGAGTTTTCTCGTACCCAAGGATCACCCGGCCGTGTCTATTAACAAACCTACTTAGTCTGTTAAGTTTCTAATCGGTTTATTATCATTCACTTTCGCTATAAGTGCGCTGAGGTTAACTATCCTCCAACCCAATTAACATCAATTGGCCTGACGGCCCGCTGGGGGAAGGGGGTTTGGGCCCGCCCTCGCTCCGAACCCCGACCCAGGGCCCTAAACGGGGGGGGGGGTGTCAAGAAACCCCTAAACTCCCCCGCTCTCGGGGTCCACTCCCCCGCCCTGGGCCGCTTCTTCCCCCCCGCGTTGGTAGACGCATGGTCTGGGGACCCCGGGGTTATGTCTCACCCCAAGGCCTCCACAGCCCGAGAAGCTCTGCTGGCCGCTCGCCCCGTGTTCTGCACCCTGGGGATTCCCCCCCCTCCTGTCGTCCCGGCTGCTCCTTTTAAACCCCCCTCCTCCATGACTTCCTTCCTGACTTCCTTTTCCTGTGCCACTTCCGGATTGCGGGATAGTGACGTCACAAGTGATGTCACGCCGGCCGTCTTTAGGATATCCTGCCACTGCCTCACCGCCCGGCCGCGCACGGGTTGGGGACCCCGTCGCTGCCCATCCAGGACTTTTCCTGCCGCGTTGCCGCCCTTCGAGCTCAGCGGGGGCCCGGCAGCTTCTGGAGGGGGCGGGTCCGACCCGCCACACCTGGTGCATGGCTGAGAAAATGAAAAAATGAGGAAGAACGGCTCTTTCGCAAGAGGGGGTTTTTGCACAACAAGGCATTGTGTAGATGGCTTTTTTTGTGCAAAAAGGCTCCTAATTAATTATGCAAATGAAGTATAGCAACATGCTAATCTGTGCTTCATTTGCATAGTCCTTTGCGCAAGAGGGATGCAGTGTAGACGTAGATTTAAAGTTCATGCCTTGAGTTTCCCAGTCTCCCCTACTATTGATAATACTGGCCTTAAAATACTTAATTCTATGAAAAGTTCTTTCAAGTCACTAGTCCAGTTTTGCCTCTGACTTAAACCAGTGGAAAACAAGCAGTGATTCCACTGTGGTAAATGGGTCCAAGCCCATAGACAGGTGACCTAGCTAAGGAATGCCCAGTTCTTTATCACTGAGGGGTGTCAGCTGATTTTATGTATCTTAAAAAGCTGGTGAAAAAGGCCTTTTCCCTCCCAAAGTTGGAAAGTTCTCTCAGGATTGTGCACATGATTGATTGGGATTGAAAACTCATTTTTTATGATGTCATATAAGAAACCATGGGTATGTCTACACTACCCTCCTATTTCGAACTAGCGGGGTAATGTAGGCATACCACACTTGCAAATGAAGCCCGGGATTTGAATTTCCCGGGCTTCATTTGCATAAGCGGGGAGCC